GGTACTTTTTTTTTTTTTTGCATAGTGCTTAAGGATAGCACAGCATTTTTTAATGAGGTCAATATCTTTAAATGTTGCTTATTTCATCAGAAAATACTATACCTTCAAGGATAAAGTATATTAAGCATTTTCTCAAAGGGCTCTGTTACATTAAAAGAGTAGTTTAGAGATAAATTGCTTAATCAAACTTAATAAAAATGCTGAGATGATTCAGTTGGGAAGAGATGTTTGAAAGAGTTTCATATAGTTGTTCTTGTAAGAGATGCATTTACCTGTAGTAAACGGGATAAAGACTATCTAGCATACAGCTGTTCCTGTCCTATTGGGTCAACATGTCATGCAACGGGTGAGCAATTGGCTGATGGATCAGGTGCAAAGCATTATAGTAAATGGGGTAACATCAGACTGGTGACCTGTCAGTAGTGGGTTTCTACAGGGTTCCATCTTAGGCCATGTACTCTTCAACATCTTCATGAACAATGTAGAACTTGAAAGTATACCAAGTAAGTTTGCCAATGATGCTAAATTGGCTGGAGCTGTTGACTCCCTCAAGGGCAGAGAGGCCCTGCAGAGAGACTTAGAAAAATTAGAGAGATGGGCAATTACCAGTCATATGAACTTTAACAAGGGCAAGTGCCAGATTCTGTACCTGGGGTGGGGTAACCCTGGTTGTGTGTATAGACTAGGAAACGAGAGGCTGGAGAACAGTGCTGTGGAAAGCGATCTGGGGGTCCTGGTTGATGGCAAGTTGAATATGAGTCAGCAGTGCCCTGACAGCCAGGACGGCCAACCATGTCCTGGGGGGCATCAGGCAAAGCGTCACCAGCCAGTCTAGAGAGGAGATTGTTCTGTTCTGCTCTGCACTGGTGAGGCCTCACCTTGGATATTGTGTGCAGTTTTGGGCACTGCAATATAAGACAGATATTAAGCCATTAGAGAGTGTCCAGAGGAGGGCAACGAAGATGGTGAAGGGCCTTGAGGGGAAGCCGTATGAGGAGCAGCTGAGGTCATTTGGTCTGTTCAGCCTGGAGAAGAGGAGACTGAGGGGAGACCTCGTCACAGTCTACAACTTCCTTGTGAGGGGAAGAGGAGGGGCGGGCACTGATCTCTTCTTTGTGGTGACCAGTGACAGGACCCAAGTGAATGGCCTGAAGTCGTTTCAGGGAAGGTTTAGGTTGGATATTAGGAAGAGGTTCTTCACCCAGAGGGTGGTTGGGCACTGGAACAGGTTCCTCAGGGAAGTGGTCACAGCACCAAACTTGACAGAGTTCAAGAAGTGTTTGGACAATACTCTTAGGTACATGGTGTGATTCTTGGGACTGTCCTGTGCAGGGCCAGGAGTTGGACTTGGTTAATCCTTGGGTGTCCCTTCCAACCCAGGGTATTCTGTGATTATATGATAGCCATGTCTTGAGTCAGTTATCTTGATGTGGAAAAAAGTCCCAACCAAACAAATATCAAGAAATAGTGGATTATATCTGTGTTTTTATTTTCATCCATTTACTCTTACACATTTATACTTTGGTTTTTAATACAAATAGAAAATATGTATTAGAATCACAAAAACGTAATTTTAAGATATGTAGAAAAAGTAACGTGTGTTTTCCCCACGTACATGTATATATGTGCATATTGACTCATGTATATGTATGTACTCATGTCTATAAGTTCATATACAGTGCTTAAAGTATTGTAGGTTGAAATAGGGTGTGTGAAATACAAATTTTTATATGGCTCTTGTTGTAGGAGATTAAGCACCTTTTAAACCAATTTAACTTAGCAGCCAGCTTGAAAAGAAAGATGCTACTTTTAGTTCTATTATATTGCAGGGAAAGTGAAGCAAAGGTTAAAAATGGCACTTATGCATCCTGCATGCAAAAAAAAAAGGAAAAATGTTGCCACATGAATGTAAAACACAAGCCTTCAAAGCTGATGCCTCCTACAGGAACATCTAAAGAGTGTCATGGAAGTAAAAAAAAAAAATCAAATTCGTTCAATGCAAAAAACCAAACCAAAACAAAAGTTAATTGATTCAAAATAGACTGTAGCAAATCCATGAAGATTAAAAGATCCATGGAGAGGTATACAGTACAATGCTGTCCTGTCAAAAATACCTTTAATGTTAACTGCCAGAAGCTAGAAGGGTGTGCTAGTGAAATAATTAATTTGCCAAGTTTTTTTTCATTCTTTCCTTAAGCATTTGAATTGTCTGTGGACAGAGAGGAAACACAAGGTTAAGTGGAAGCTTCATCTGATGTGGTGTCATCATTTTCATGTTAGGTCTGCACATGCCTGTCTCTTCACCAGTACAAACCCTGGTGTGGCACAGATGGCCCTCAGCATTCTCAGAGCTTCATTCTTCTCATGTCATTCCCTTTTTGCTCCTTTGAGTTTCTTTGCTGTTGTCTGTTCCACTCAATTTCATCCATCTAATTTTTCTTACTTTCCCTGCACATCCTTTCAAGACACATGAATATCTGCTGCAGAGAGAGTACACCAGAGAAATCATAGTTGTTAGGATTATTTTCTTTTTCCTGTTTCCTTGTTGATTTCACTTCAGGGACATGATATCAGTTGAAGGCAAGTAGCTCAGTGTGTGAGAGTTTACAGCATCTTCAGAGTGGAGGAGTATCAGAGACAACTTTTAATAACATTATTTTTGGGTGATTTGCAAAATAAGAAATGGAGATGATAAATGAGGCTACCTTCTGCAGGTCCTGCGAACATCCATGCAAGTCTATATATAACGTCACTAACATATATATGTCCCCTTTTTCAACATCCCCATTGCCACTGGCCTCTGAGACCTTTGCAGTCTGAACAGTGGAGTAGGAACATGAGATCTAGCAGTAGGTTGTTCCTGTCCTATTGGATCAAGATTTTAGTTGTTCTCTTGCAACGCCTGGGAAGCAAGTCACTCTTGTTTATCCTTAAGGTGCATCTACAGTGCAGATTAAAAGTCTGTGACGTGGCAGGCATTACACAGCTTCATTAGTGCAGTTATTTGATGAAAGGGTAGTTAGATGCATCCCACCCAACAAAAATGCATTTAGGGTTTTAGTATCAAAGTTTGTGTATGTATTTCAGTGTCTGAAATGAAGTAGATTGCTTCCCATGGGGTAAAACATCATCTGTTGCTGCAGTGACAAGATGTTGCCAGCTGAAGTCTAAACCAGAACTGTTCTTACCAAAGTGAGGTGAATGAGTTATAAAGTATACCTTAAGCAATAAAATAAAATAGCTAATATACTTACTACTGTTTTATCTGTATGTGAAGAACCACTAAAAGAGTTAAAATCCTCTTCGCACCTATACTTTCTGACAGAATGCCAATAATGAAGGTTGGGAATCAGAAGTCCCAGTCTGTGTTGGTTGATCCCCACTATTTTGATCTCTTCTCACTTATGTTAGTCCCAAGTCTTATCTTCCCAAGCTCTTTCCACTAAGTTTTCTTCATTGACCTTAATCATAACTCCTCAGATCTTTCATCCCAAATGCTTCCAGTTCTCTCACCTCTTTTCCTCAGTTTTGTTTTTCTATTCACTGTGATACTATTCATTTCAGTTTCTTTATTCTTCTCCCATTTCTCCTTATTTCAGGCTGAAATTCTCATTTCAGCTGGGTCTCAACTTCCATTCTTGCTATTCAAGTCACTGTGAGCTCTTCTAGTTCAGACTACTTTGTCTTCTCTACAAATACTTTTACCCACCTCACTGATTTATGAATCTGTCTCCCTTTATGTCTAGTCTTTTTGTACTAGCTCTTTCAGTTCTGGCTTCTTTATCTTCTCTCCAGTTACTTTTATCTACCATAACTCATTGATTTACAAGATTTTTTTCTTGACCTGCTGTCCCCATTCTCTCTGGAAATTCTTGTTTCTAGTTCCTTTTTCTACTCTTTCACTTTCAAATTTCTACCTCAGTCCTAGTTTCTTCCACTTTATTTCTTGTCCCAGCATAATCCTGAGTACAGGTGTGACTCATGCCTCATCTGCATTTGAAAAAGGCTGCCTACATCCAGAAAAGATGGGAGTATTAGCAGACACAAAAGAGAGAGAGAAACAGAGTTTGTTCTTTTTGATGTGTATATCTGACATGGTCCATTACAGCCTACAGGAACTCAGTTTCAGACAGGGCATAGTCAATGAAGTTTAAAACAGCGATATGACAAGTCCCTCTTTAGGTAAAGTAGCATTCATAGCATGCACATCTGCAAATAGTCTGCTTTTATCATAAAAGCATATAATGGTATGTTATGTAAATGTACTGTGTACAATACATTCTTCTTCCCGTTTTAGGTTGGATATAGCATGACCATTGTTTAGAAACCATTGTGATATGATATCAAATATTTTCACAATTTTGCTATAGACCCCAATACTTAAAATGTTTGTGAAGAGCTTTTTCTTAAACATTCTTACAATAATTTCATAATGCATCTCTTCACCCTCCTTTCAATAATAATTGAAGCTGGATTTTTTTCTCCTCATTGTTGAATAGAAATTCAGTCATTTACTTCAGTAGCAGAATTGATTAACTTTTTCCTGCAATGAGCCTTGGAAATTTTGATCCTAAATGATTTCAGGTTCTGTGTTCCTCAAATCACATTCGGACCTAGAACCCCCCCCCCAAAAAAAAAGACAAAAAAACCAAAGCCTTGCTTGCTCTTATGATTTATTGCTGTACAGTGCATCTGTGTACGCAAGATTGTCACTGAGGTTGTAGCTAGTTCTTTGTTTGTCTTTATTTAAAGGCTTCATCTCTGTAAAGAGGTAGAAGGAAAAATTAGCTATATACTAAAAGATGCATTTTTATTTTAAGAACTTTGAAATAGAAAATGTTAAAGAAAATCCCGAGAAAAAAAAGCCAAATAAAAATATGCAATCTTTCTTTTTGTCTTTTGCTATACAAAGGTCAATAATAGGACAAAATTAGATTAAAAGTAAATTTTTTTTAAAAGGTGTCTATTTATTATATTTTCCACCTCTTCTTACACGCCAGGAAGAAGATGGGACCCCTTTTACTTCTAATAATTTGTCAGTGTGCCATAAACAGTGTCAAAACACACAGTGCTTCAAATCCCAATATCATTTTGCTGATGGCTGATGATCTTGGTATTGGAGATGTGGGATGTTATGGGAACAAAACCTTAAGGTATGTTGATAATTTAGGGGAGTCACAGGTTTGTATTTAGTTTTTCTATGGATTTTTAAAGTTAAAAATGCCAGAACATTTAGAGATTTAATTAGGCTTTTTATAAGTAATCAAAGTTAATTATTTTTCCAGAGAATAACATATTCAATCTTTGTTTTCTTTTCTTGACAAAAGACTTATCTGATGTGTTTATCCTGCTGAAAAGTTGCATTATAAACAGAGAATTGAGCAACCAACCAAATAAGGGTAGCTCTAGGGAAGCAAAGTATAGTCACCAGCTTTTTTTTTAAATATACATGACAGAAGTACGATGAATTAAGCATATTTGAAGCACTCATGATTTGAGACAACCTTGTTGTTAACCAATTGTAAATGTTTTTCATTAATTTGTCTTCATACCATAATCAGTATATTCATTAAAACAAATGTTAATATGCCTGAATAATGCAGCAGTGTTCCCCAGAATTTTCCTTATTACGAGCTTAGGTGTGCTGATTGTGTAAACAGAGAAAGTGGTACCTAGTCATTTTGTTTGTGGTGCAAAGGCTTTGACAAAGTTAAATAAAACATTCAGACTAAAAGCATTGTCTTGTCAAATGTTAAATGCTCTTGTTCCTGCTGATGTTAGTTAGAAGTAAAACCTCCTCAAAACTGAAAAAAAAGAAAATAAAGTTACAGATTCTAGTTTTAAACAGGAAACAATTATGTACAACACCGATGCTTGAATCGCTCTCATCACAGGGACCAGAATGACTCCAAGATCTATGTTCTCTGCTGTGAGAATTCAGAATAAGATCTTTGGAATATGAAGAAATTTCATCATACTGGTTGTTATTAGTAGGTGATGTTACTGATAGCAAATAAGTCAGTTGGAAAATTAATGTTTCTGACTATTCAGACTTGGGTGATGGGAGCACTAGTATTCCTTGAGGTCATGGTCATTAATCTCCTGGGTCAGAGAGCTATTAGAGCATGCTGCAGCTCCTGGCCAATCTGCATTAGTAATTTTTATCTGTAGAACCAAGGACACAGGATTTCTTCCTGCAGGAACCAATTTTCATCTGCATGATGAGCCAGGTCATAGACAGGTTTCCCATGCAGATATGGGAACTTGGTTGTGCCCCTGGCTCTAAAATTGCAGACATAATCATGTCAGACATTTAGGTACCATTAATATAGAGTGTAACACAGAGTTGTAATTTTTTGAATCTCCTCTATTAACTGATAGCACCATACAACATTATCCCTATCCCAAAAACCTTTTACAGGGGAGAGACAGACATGACACCAAGTAGGGAGTAAGGAAGCACAACCTTTCTCCAGTCTCTGTTTTTCCCTATTGCTGAAGCAGAGAGATTGCAAAATTACAGTTCTGGGTCAAGGAATCCATTAAAAAGGGTTGCAATGCAATATGTCTAGGTGTAACAATTTAGTATTGGCCATGAAGAGTAGATGAAAGTGGGAAAAAAGATTTTTGGCATAGTGGCACAGTGTCTCAGTTCGGTGTTGACACCTGATGTAAAAATATTTGACGTGATAGTATTTAGAACTGCAACCCCATCATGGTTTTGATAATTTATATACAGTAAGTCTTAACTTGATTTTCTTAATAGTTCTTGCCTCAGATGCCTTGATCTTACCATAACTGTTTCCAAATAATAATTTTTGTATATTCTTTTTTTTTCCCTGCTTATGTTTCTCCAGAACTCCTAATATTGACAGGCTAGCAGAGGAAGGAGTGACACTTACTCAGCATATAGCAGCAGCCCCACTTTGTACTCCAAGCAGGGCAGCTTTCCTGACAGGGAGATATCCTATAAGATCAGGTAAAACCCTATTACTTTATTTATATACAAATATCATATTTTATTTACAGTAAACTCTATGCAGGTTTTTTTTGTCTGGCCTTTCTTGATATCTTTATCATGACCAAGTTAGGTGAGAATAAATGATCAGTCTTTTCACTTACTGATCAAGCTCATCAAGAGTTGGTTTACTTTTGAAATATTTCATATACATGGCAAATTTTTGCATTTGAGAAGAGTTGACACAAAAATAAAGTCTTTTTAGTGAGTAAAATATTTTTTTGTTTAACTACCGAGAAAAAGATTTGACTGTAGTTATTTAATGTAAGGAGCAGTCCATCTGTTCGCAAAATCCATCAACTTCCTCCAGTATTCAATGACCACTATTCAATTCTCTCTTTGCCTGCCTCCCTAGTTACATTCAGGCTGCTCCCAGTATGTTGGTGGGCAGCCCAAGTGCTGGACATCACAGAGATGCATCTAGAAAGATGCAATGGAAGAACCCCATGTAAATGCTTCCGCTCAGACATTTCGATTTCTACAAAACCTTTTGGTTTAGACAAATTGTTGGGTTTGCCTTTTGGATTTTTTTTGTTTTTCCTGTTGTTTTGGCAGGGGGAAGGTTGGGGGCAGGACAACTCATTAAGATATTCAAGTTGCCCTTAAGACTGGGAAAAGGAAAGCAAAAAATCTCCCTTCTTTTAACATATTTTTGTTCTATATCTACCCATATAAAGTGTTAAGTATCTTATGAATACATGCATTTAATTTTTCTTACTTTTCAAATACTTGATCCAAAGCCCATTTGAGCCAGTGAAGATCTAGTCTGTTTATTTTAGTGTGCTGGGACTGAGTGCTTAGCCATGCAACTTTAACATTCCCTTAACATCATTTTTAGCAAGGATCATTATACATTAATCAGATCACTTGTTCATTAGTGATAAAACATCCTGTCCTTGCTTCTGGGAATGAAAGCAAAGCAAGACTCTGGAGCCTACTTGATACATTCATGCTCATTCAAATCAAGTAACAAGCTTTTGCAAAAGTGCCAGCTAATATAACTTGCTAAATTTTCCATTACATTCAGCTCCAAAGGAAAATTTCATATACCTGTTACAGCTATATTGCTATTAATATTTACTGTAGGTAAAGCAACAGGTCACTTTCCATCATGATTCTTGTTCTTATTTCAGAAAAATGTTCTTAATTCTGAAAAATTCTGATTTTTTTCTTCACTAATCATTTCCATGTAGGTGAAAAAATTGAACTTTGTCTTACTTAAATTACAAAATGGCTAAATATGGAGTGCTTCCAAATATCACTGAGGACCTAGTAAAGGATTATTACACAAGGCACTAGAATCATGATGTGGAAAAAAAAGTTAGAAATTTAAAACTCCTGCTAATAGAGCTGAAGAAAAAGATTCCAAAATGCAGTATTTGATGAGACACAAACTCAGAGAAAGGTAATTATGAAAAAAAACCCAAACATAAGTCTGTACTTTCATTTCTGTAGCTTAAGGGAATTACACTGATTTCCGTTACAAGAGCTTTAATTACATAAAATTAAATATAAATAAATAATATATGTATATGACTAAAACTAAACTGTTAATCAACAAAAATAGCTGGGGTAAAAAACTGAAGTCAACATATGAAGGGTAAGTTGAGCTGTCTTTGATAAACCAGTCTAACAAGTCTTTTTCTCATGTAACCACAAGGGATACCTGAGTGAAGATTCTGGTTGTCTACATCAGTCATGTAATTTGGGCACTACAATCATCCAGTTGCATAATTTAGACTTCATGAAGATACATCTGCACAGATTTGCATAGATATTCTCTGTTCTGTCTGTCTATTTTCAGAGCCAGCTCTCATCTGGAATCCTAGTAATCTAATTTTCATGAACCTGAGCTCTCAAGTTCCTCATCCTGAGAGTAGCTTATAAGCTCATTTGTGTTCCTCAGACTCTCAGTATATAGAAATTACTGTGCCTTATTTAGATGTTGTCTTGTTAGCCGATACCTGATGCTCCTTTAGTGCACTCTGAATGCATTGAATCATGTGTCTTTGTGCCACTGGAATGCTGGTCCTCTCCCATCAATGCTGAGAGCCCTGGCTGCTCTATTTCCGGAATTAGATTCTCTTTTGCTCTTTTGATCTCATGATATTTACATACCCAGTTGTAAGACTGCCTTATTTCAATGTACCTTCTCATAAATAACCTTAAAGGCTTATAGAAAACCATGTATGATGAAAGTGGAAATTTGGAGAGTAGAACTTGGGAATGATCTCAGTCCTCAGTTCCATTCCTACCCCATGTAGAAAAATAAATTATTCAAGCTCAACTTTTTTCAGTTATGCTGAAAAAACCTTACAACATCTACAGAAGGACATGCAGCTGTTTATGTCATGTCTGGCCCCGTGGTTATAAGCAGAGACTTTTTTTTCTAAACTTCTCAATTTCTGATGTTAATACAGAGAAGACCTCACTCAGCTAAATGGATGATTGTATCAGCCACTTGCAACATTTAATGTCTGGTTGTAATGTGTCATTTAAGTGATACCACCTGAAGCAAAAAAGTGCGTGCAGAAAGAATGAATGGAAATAGTTTCTCTGTATTATCCAGGTCTCATAAATTTTCATTGTATTTAGGAATGGCTGCCTTCTCACGAGTTGGTGTCTTCTTATTTTCTGCCTCTTCTGGGGGACTTCCTTCTGAAGAAATAACTTTTTCCAAACTCCTGAAACAGAAAGGTTATGCAACCGCTCTAATAGGTAAAATTATGCAACAACATATGTGCAACACTATTTTACTTTCATTTAAATCAAAAGAACATTAGCTTCTCATATAGGCTATTAAGGGTTTGCATTAAGCGTTTTTCCCCCACAGCATAATGAATTTATTTTTCTGGCACAAAGCTGAGCACATTCCCATGCCTATGTGAAACACTAATCTGATAAGTATGTCTAATTCACTTGTGTAGTTATAGTCTCATTGTGCAAGGTACTGGAGAAACATGATGAACAAACTGAAAATTAGTCAAGCTCTTGAAAAGTTTTCAGTATAAATAGGAATTTGATTACAACAGAGGGATTGATCACAACAAGGGATTGATCACAGAGTACAAGTCAGAACAGTGGTACAATTCATTTCACCAGTTTTTAAATATCCATAAAGTAAATAGTGTTGTACCTGGAATAACTACCTGGATTCTTTTCTTAGTCATCAGCCAGAAAAGGGCATTTCTAGGAAAGTTTTCTTATCCTATAGTAGAAATGTAATATAAAAATGTATTTCTCTCTCATTGTAAAGATAGTTTAGACAATTAACTGCAGCATAAATATCCAGTGTTGGAAAAGGAATCCCACTAGGTGAATTTTAAATAGAATTGGAATTAATATCCTAAAAGTATAAAATTAAAGATTGGTCCCTTTTTTTTTTTTTAATTTGACCAATGACTTATTCCACACTGCTTATATTTTAGAAGATTTTTGTGAAGTACAACTTGTATTACATAATGTATTTCTGTACTGGAATTGCCAGGGAATTGTTGTATAGAGAACATCATACTGGAATTACTAAATTAATGTAGATGAAGGATGCATCCAATTTGATTTTTTTAAATTGATTTTTAAACAGAAACTTGCAACTTGGGGAGTGATTTTTGTTTAAAAAATCAGGCTGTTTAGCAAGGCTAACAATTCGCACCACTGTTCAAAAAATATCTGTATTATGTAGATAAACCTACATTTAGTTAGTGTTCCTAACTAAAAATCCTACTTAGCTATATCCCGGTCTTATAAAGGATAAAATACCATGATGTCCTGACAGAAACAAACAAGAAAACCAGAAAATCTTATCAGAAGTATATTTAGTGCGGGTGTATTTTAATCATAGTGCAAAAAAGCCATTCATAATTTGTCATGTTCCTCATGGAGTTAATTCCTATTGCTCCATATTCAGTTAAAGGCTGGGGTTTTTTCTGTTTGTAACAAGCACTGTAATATAACTCATTTTCTGGGGCTGACCTAGTTAATGTTCTTTTTTTAACTACTTTCACTGCAACATGACAGCTTGCCACTTAGATCTCCAGAAGTTATCTCCATGATACTTAATGAACAGTTCTTGCAAGTGGCCCGAATGATAGCTGTAAGACCATAAAATGTAATATCACCATATCCTTAGAGTATAATAAAGGTTTCCAAAAATCAAGAAGTGCATTAAAATTAGGGATAAAGCATATGTAAATGAAAAAAAGAAAAATTATGTAGATTTGAAGAGTAGGTAGGCAGAGTCTGATTCCCAGTCAGCCCATTTTCTGCCTCTGCTGGTGTTCTTACCACATCATATTGGTCTGGGTCAGGGAGTCTTTGCTGGGTTCAGTCTAACTCAGGAGTTCCCAAACAAATTATTGTCAAATCCTGCACCAGTGATGGATTGGCATAAGGGTAATTTTAAGCCTTTCAGTTCCTCAAACCTGTAATGTCACTTCTTTTTTTTTTTTTTTTCTCCCAAGTTTCTCTCCCTTTTATTCTCTAAGGACATTTTTCTCTTCCCTAAATGCATTTTTGCTTCTTTTTGTACTTTTTGCTCCTCTGAATATATGCTTCCTTTTGCTTGATACATCCCAAAATATATTTTGGCTATAAATCTACTCTATGTATACACTTTTCTACCTCACTGTTTTCCCCTGTGACACAAAGAAGGTGACATCCAATGCATCTGTCAGGAAGACACACAATCAGACCTGCAAAAAACCCAAGTTTTATAAGAAAGAGCAGATGCATAGAATATGTGATATTTCAACAGTAGAAAGAAATGATGATGTTTTACAGGAAAAAGCTATTCATAATGCAAAAATTCCACTTAGATAAGTATTATTTTAACTACTGCTATGATCAATTACAGTTGACTAAAAGGTTAATTTTTCCTCGCTATTTTTATCCAGTGTGTTGTTTGGTATCCAGAGAAGTTTAAAACCCACCTATGTAGCTTATCTCCAAAGTTGAAAAACTAATTGATAACTGGTACTTGTTTCTTTCTTCCAGAATGAGGTGATGTAATATTTGGATGCAGCACAGTAGTCAGGTGTCCAATCCAAGATTGACTGAGTCTAGAGATTGGGATTAATGCAGCAGTTATTCATAAAACAGCTTAAAATCTGACCATGGTAATAACATATGCACATACACTTTTTATTATTATTGATACGTACTTCATATAAATATATTTCTTTGAGCACATAAAATGTTTCTGTTTGCATCTTGTTCCACATCTTGCCTCTTACCATTTATCTGAAAAATAAAATCATTCCAAAAGAAATATGTCATTATATACAATTCAGTCTTCAGATTGCTCCCTTTTCAACTGAGGGGAAAAAAAGATTGGAAACATGGATTTTTTTAGTATCCCTAGGATTCTGGGTTGTAAAAAACTGAGTTCTGAGTGATCTTGGCTGAATAATACTTGCCTCACACATCCACTTGCCTTTCATTGCATTGCTTTTGCTCTGCAGAAATTGTAATTGTGACTGACGGAGAGGGAAAAATGCCTAAGTCTCAAATTATTGAGGTACTTGTAATTTAAAATTAAAAGCATAAATTTCACTCAAAAGCTTGGTAGAATCTACTGAAATGCTTATGATGCTTGTGTGAAGTGTCCATCCTGTGAAGCATCACTTGGCAAAGAGATGAGAGCATTTTGCGCTGCTCTCAGATTCAGAAGGGCCTCAGACTGTAAAGCACATTACAGTAATATGTTGAAGCACTAGCTCAAGGCAGGGGTTATTATCACAAGGAATGAAACAAAACATGACCCAGTCATCACTTGCTTTTTCAGAGTAGTGCAGGATCTATCAAAACCTTCTACCTCATCAGCCATTTGAGAATGGCAGTTGTGTCGTTCCATCACAGCTGCCGATATAATTTGAACCAGAGTTTCTGTTGCTTTTCCCACTAACCTGCTCTCTGCTTTGTTTGGCTTCAGTTGCTTCTGAACAAATCTCTTTTTGAGGCCCAAGTTCATCTTGACATTGAACAATTTGTTGTGCTTGCTAAAACCCTTTTGATAAAAATAGGACCTATATTTTACCTTGTCCTAATTTGTTATTGCAAGATTCTTCTATCCTGGCTTGCAGTATCTAGTTTTATTGAGATCCCATTTAAAAAAAACTCTATGTCATAATAATAGACCTTGAAGGCATATTTAATTTGAGTTTTTTACTGAATTATAGGTGCTTTGAGATTGACATATAACAGCAAAAAATTAAAAATTAAAGCTTGAAGGTCATTTATAGTCATGATTATTAACCTCTACCATTAATTCAGTTCTCTAACTTGAGAGTTTTTTCATCTCACCTTGTTACACATCTGGCTTTATGATTATTCCATGAAGACAGTCATGTAAAACTAAGAGAAAACATTGAAGCATTTCTTTTCAAAAATCTGTGTCTTTATATGCTGGGAATGACAATCAGAGTTCCAGCCTTATCTAGCCCTTTATAGCATCATTATAATATCTGAAATGTCAGTTCAGTAGTGTGCACTGCTCTTTTTTTTTAATTGACCATGGTAATTTTTACTGAACCATGTCAAAAGCAGTGACGAGCCATTCTGCCCACAGAAGCAGAATACCACCTCAGGTGAGTTGCCATCTGACAGGGAAAAATTCTGATTGGATGAAAGAGCTGTAGAGGCCTTAGTTTCACTGGCACATAAGCAGACCTGAAAATGTTTTATACTCGCTTTGATGATATACAGAAGGTATTTCTAACTTTAGACTGTCAAGAGATGTATGAGGGGAACTGGACTCAACTAAACACTCAGAGTCAAGATTTCTGTGTTACTCTTCTACACCTTTGCTGACAGATGACCTTGAGCACGACATTCCCATCCTATACCTCCATTCTGTTATTTGTGGAAGAGAAATAGCAACATCCAATCTATTTGCTAGGTACTATTTAAAATAAACTGAACTGACCCCCATCTCACCCTCTTTGGTACTGCAGTACCTGCATTTGTCATTGCCAAAGGAAGAAGTGCAGAATGAATATGCAGTTCTCTAGACCCAGGAGAAGATGTTCAGGACTGTCTGCATCAGCACTCTTTCTTACAGATGTGTAAAAGCTGGGATGGTTCAGAAAAGGGGAAAGGTCTATGTATGCTCTTTTTCCTTTTTTGTACTTTCTGCCATGTGTATTCTGAAGCCTGCAGAACAAATATTTCAAATTTCTTTGGGCTAAGTTATGGGAATGAGTACTTACTGGATTTTCAGGTTTTCTTGTTTGTTTCTTTTAGGACGACCCCAGAATTATGCTGGTCGTGTTTACATATTTGATTCAGAAAAATAAATAGTGTGGCCCAGAAATATATAATGTTATCTGTTTTGTCAAGGCCAACATATTTTTTAAAATATTCAATACATTTTCTGGCTGAGAGTAAAGAGCATAGCTCTATCCCCAATCTATCTCAACAGGCTTAACTGAATTTTTGGGTTTTTTAATAATTATGCATTTGAATTCAAATAACAGCTTCCAAACAGTTAGGTCTGTCATGCTAAGCAATGCATAAGCATATAGTAAGAGGTTATACCTGAGTCATAGAATGAATTATCTAGAAACTTACTGTAATCAGCATGAACATAGATTGTACTACTATAATGCAAATCAGGCTCACTGGTTTCTTGTGTCAGTCAGTGTCCAACATTATTGCAGAATTAGAGTGATTTCCTAGTGAGACAAAATGCTGTGAGAGCTAGTATTTGGCAGCAATTTACTTCTTACTGTTGTTTGGCTTTTTATTTATATATCTAAAATAAAAATATGCAAAATAATCACCCTCACCATATATATCTGTGTATATTGTGAGGGAGATTGACAATTTCAGAGATTTTTGCAATCATTTAAATAATAAATGCTTTGGTAATTTTCCTATTCTGGATTTATTTCCTATTTGTTACTGTTTTCTTCTTCTTTTCTCTTTTTTTTTTAAACTATTCAAATTATTTGCTAGAAAAATTTGAGAGAAGATATTTTTTAACTCTGTATTGGCTTTTCCTATTCAATCAGTAGCTGCTACAAAATAGTATTTTTTTATAGCAACTACACATACACAAAGGCTTCATTTCCAAAGTTAGCTGTCTGCTAGGGCTCTGTTGCTCTTCAGTGACCTGCTAGCCCACTCAAAATTTAATGTTCTTCAGTAGCAGTTCTGCTAAACCTATTTCTAACTAAGATGAATAGGCAGACATGAAACAAAATCTTTGATGAAGGCATAAAGAAAGTTTAAATAGAAAATAGGGATCCACAAAATGGATGCTGGTGGCAGGGGGATAGCAGTCAGACAGTGACAGTTTCATGTTTGGGATAGTGCACATTAAAACTAAGTTTGATGATTTAACTACAAAAATACTCCCTGTCCTTTTCTCTTTGTAGGAAAGTGGCATCTTGGGATGAACTGTGAAAGCAGTAATGACTTCTGTCACCACCCCCTCAGTCATGGATTTGATTACTTTTATGGGCTTACTGTGACCAATTTTAGAGACTGCAAACCTGGCCAAGGCAGCGTATTTTTAAAAGGGGTTCAGAAAGCCCTTATCGTCCCAATCCAAATTGCTGGAATCACCCTTGTCTCTTTGGCGATAGCGCGGTACATTGGCCTCCTCAATGTACCTTTCCAAGCATTCTGTTACTGCTTGTTAATAATCACAATTTCACTTGTGGTTTTGATATTTTTCTTCTATCATTTTCGACACTTAAACTGCTTCTTAATGAGGAATCATCAGATTATCCAGCAGCCACTGTCCTATGAGAACCTTACTCAGAGGCTGACAAAGGAAGCCATGCAGTTTATTGGAAGGTAGGTTTCTAACTGTGCTGTAAGTCAGTGTTGCCATTTCACAATGATGATGCTTCTAAAAATTGGACAAAATATTAGCTTGTGGGCATAAGGAATATGTCATTATATATAATCATCATAATTTATTCCTTTAAAAGATAGCTGAAGTTAATCTTTTATTGAAAGCGACTGTTTGGGGGTTTTTCTATCAGTTATATAATTAATTCCTCTAAAATTTTAAAATTGTTTATGTTTACATACTTCAGAATTTTTTTCCAAAAATTTTCAATTTTTTTAGGACTTTCATTGTTAAGAATTTCATGTAACTTGAAATATGAAAAATCTTTTGCGGTGACTTTATGTGAAAACACAATGCAGAGTCATAATCTATGACTTTTCTGGAATGGGAAACTTTTTCATGGAGTTGATGCAACCATTAAAAGGCATTCATAAGACAAATTTTTAAAGATACTGGCACTTTATATACCTCCACTTTTATGGCAGATTAATGTTGAAAAGATTTGATTCACAGAAGTTAGGGTGCAGGACTCTTTACCTGGGGAAGAATAACCCCCAGCACCAGTACAAGCTGGGGACTGACTTGCTGGAAAGCAGCTCTGCGTAGAAGGGCCTGGGGGTCCTGGTGGACAACAAGCTGTCCATGAGCCAGAAATGTGTCCTACTGACCAGGAAGGCCAATGGGATCCTGGGCTGTGTTAGGAAGAGCATTGCCAGCAGGTAGATGGAGGTGATCCTACCCCTCTACTCAGTCCTAGTGAGGCCACATCTGGACTACTGTGTCCAGTTCTGGGCTCCTCAACACAAGAGAGAGGTGGAGCTCCTGGAACAGGTCCAGCAGACAGCTACAAAGATGATTAGGGACAGGAGCATCTCTTATGAAGAAAGGCTGAGGGAACCGAGCCTGTTCAGCCTCAAGAAGAGACAACTCAGAGGGAACCTTATCAATCTATGTAAATATCTGAAGGGAGGGTGCCAAGAGGACGGAGCCAGGCTCTTCTTTGTGGTGCCGAGCAAAAGGACAAAAGGCAACAGGCAGAAACTGATGCATGGGAATTTCCACCTGAATGTGAGGAAGAACTTCACTGTGCAGGTTACCAAACACTGGAACAAATTGCCCAGAGAGATTGTGCTAGAGATCCTGTGCCATGCGCTCTAGGATGACCCTACCTGAGCAGGGAGGTTGGACCAGATGACCCACTGTGATCCCTTCCAACCTTACTCATTCTGTAATTCTGTGATTCTGTGAAACAAATGTTTTTTTTTAAAACAATTTTTTTTTTAATAGCCATCATGTTGGGCCACCTAAACATTGGATGTACAAAAACATCCTAAGTCATTTTTCATTTTTGCTAAGTTAACTAGTTTGGAAATATATATCAATATATTTGGAGAAAAATACGTCATCAATTTAACTTCTTGAAAAAATATGTGAAAGTATTTTTCTTGATCCCTTTTGATACAGGTTAAAGCATTTTCAAAAAATACTAAATCAAAATAAAAATATATTCTAAGACATAAGTCATAGTCCCTGAATTATTATTCTTAAAGTATGTACCATTAGTTACTGTGAATACATTCGCATAGTGTCATTGCTGGATGAAAATATATACCAAAGAGTCAGAGGCTAAATTTTCTAGACTGAGTGACTACATGCAGCAGCTGTTTCTAGCTGTTAGCAAGAAAAAATGTTTAACTAAAATCTTGATCTTATACTGCAATTTTTCTGTCATTTCTATCATTATGATTTGATGTGGCCATCTCTACTCACCACACCAAAATAAAAGGGTTTTTATATCAAATTTCTTTAAGTGAGTAAGTTTTCCCAACAATCAACATTCTCATCAGTATTTTTAAATAAACTAAAACATCTTTATTTCCTCTTGGCAATAGTGGTAAAGATGCCTTCTCAGCTACATTTAACTGTGAAGTGCTTTGTTTGCTACAAACACACAAACATACACGTTGAAAATTGTTGAGAGGTTATTTGCTTAGTGACCAAGCATTTGGTGATTTTAAAAGACTCTTGAGTACATTAACTCTATGTTGGTATATTATACCATTATTTACAAGTATATACTGTGCCTGTAGTGATAGTGTTTTGGGTATCTATGAATGTTTCATTGATTTCAATGCCATGACAATAAAATGGTTGCCCCAAAACAGGTGAGTTCAAGATGGGCAATCAGTGGTAGAAAACAAGTAACTCTTTTAACTTTATTAATATGTGTAATGTGCACACTGTTATTATATAGCTTAGTGTCATTATTTGAGCCCAGTGTTTAGAGATGGAAAAATAATGTATAATCTAAGTCAGCAGAGCTTTGCTGACTCTACTGGAGGTAAGTGGCTTTACATCAGCTGAGCACTTGGCCCCGAATCTTAATGTAGTTTCCAGACAACAGTGATGTTAAATTGAAGTCAAGGTTAATAGCATATATTCGTAATTTACAACAAACTTTGTTACAGGAATGATGCAATTATAGTGAGAATTATAACCCAGACTCTTCAGAGTCATTGTTAAATTAGAGAATATCCAAGCACATTAAGGTATTGAGAAGCAATTAGGGCATTTGAGCAATCTTAACTGTGCCCTTTAGTGAATTCACATGCAAAGTATATGACCATAAACCTTGCTCCTGGGGATAGGAGTAATTAGATTAATATTCACTGAACTGATCTGTCCCATATATTAGTGAGAGCAACAAAACCAATATTTGCTTTGACACACTGGTTCTGACATTATATAGTTCACACCTGTCAACTCCAGGGCACCAGTACACCATTGCTTTTATGACTAGTCTACTGACTTTGGCAATTTGTTGGTGAATGGCCATGAAGAGTCAACCAGGTTTCAATAGCATGCAGACATCTGGCACTCATAAATGAAGTGCCACAAGGTTTTGGGAAACCAGAGTTGCTCGACAGCATTCTTATCATTCCAGTTCTTTCAGCCCCTTAGTCACATGTTTGAATATTCAATTTGTCATACAGTCTCCTTTTCTTTAGATGATACAGTAAATAGCAAGCTCAGTCATGTACATAAGTAATTCTTGTGCACAAGTATACCTGAATGCAAACAATCCTGAATTTAAAGAATTCAAGCATTCACCTTAACTGGTTCTAAATACACATTTTGTCATCAAACTAAAAATCATCAGATATCACACATTATTTAATTGGTCAATTATCTTTACAATAAATATATGATGAAGCTCCGATCTTCAACAGCACTGGTATTTTCCTGTAAAGCCCTTTTATATGCAATGTATATGAATATATATTAATAATTCCAACATAAATGTTTTATCTATATAAGTTTATTATACCTATTGCCTATATTACCTCTGCAAGTTCTTTGGAGTTCAGGTGATGGACTTCCTGACATTTTCTTTTCTAGCTGATTCTCAATCATACTGTCAGCTTTATGACTTCTTACTATGTATAAACATCAAACTCTTCAGAAGGAATAGGCAAGAAAGGAGATGTGGTGGGATAGCCTTGTATGTTAAAGAGTGTTTTCATTGTCTAGAGCTTAATGATGCTGGCAATAGGTTTGAGTTCATGGGTAAGAATCAGGGGATAGGCCAACAAGGAAGATATCATGGTGGGAATATGTTATAGACCACCCAGCCAGGAGGAAGAGGCAGACAAAATATTCTATAAGCAGCTGGGAGAAGTCTCAAAACTGCTGGCCCTTGTTAATGTTGGGGACTTCAGCTTACCAGATGTCTGCTGGAAATACAGTACAGTGGACAGGAAGCTGTGTAAGTGGTTCTTGAAGTGTGTGGAAGATAACTTCCTGACAGAGCTGATGAGTGAGCCAACCTGGGGAGATGCCCTGCTGGACCTGCTGTCTATGAACAGAGGAAGACTGGTGAGTGATTTAATGGTTGAAGGCCATCTTGGGCACAGGGATCACAAAATGATAAGAGTTTTTGATTCCTAGCAAAGTAAGGAGAGGGGTCTGCAGAACTATTACCTTGGACTGCTGGAGGGCAGACTTTGGCCTGTGATTCTATATAATCATTAGAGTTTGTTTTTAAAGTCGTCTTATAATTTCTTTATAGCATGTAGCTATGTGCTGTTGTACTTACTTTGGTCTGTTTTTTTGAGAGGTGGAATTGTATTTATCTTCCTTAGTCTAGTGTATGCATATTACAATTTTTGTTTGTTCCTAGAGAGACTGAAAAAGAGCAAATACAAAATTCAATGCCCAGAAATGGCACTGGAAATGAATATATACAATTACAAGTGTCAGATCTGGTGTGTGAAAACAAATAGTAATTTAGTTGTTTACCCTAATTGTACGTGGGCAGGTCAGCTCAGTGTGTGTTAATTCTAATTACTTTTTCCCAAGGGGAAGTGTGTTTACATATCGCAAACCTATCAGAACACTCTCTAGATACTACAGCATATTTGAAAGTCAAATGCATGCTAATTATTTCATGTTAAATTCAGCGTGGTTGTCACTCTTATATCTTCAGCATGCCCTTTAATGACCAGCTGCACAGAAAATCCAGTTTTGGAAAATGCCAGAGACCAGTTTCTAATGTATAAGAAATTAACAATACAAAAGTACCACTCTCTGATACAGAATACCTCTCTGACAAATTTGTATAGCTGGTCACAATTAATATTTAAAAAAATCCCAATGAAATCTAGTTTCTGGAAAACAGTATTTGCATACAAACATGTTTATATTTAAAAGGTATGGTGAAGGTGAATTTGAACAATTTTTTTGTCTATTTTTTTCAGTCATAGATTGCATAGGCATATTTTTTAAAATTTTGTGATAAGTTAATAAATTTTAAATTTTCATTTTATCTATTCTATTTTAGTCCTTGAAACATTGTTGCAACACATATTCAGATTTTTTTTCATCTACTCTAGGAGACTGGTTTAGAGTTTTTCTATATATTACTGGGTCTTAAGATCTGGTAGTTGTCATTTTATACTGGAGTTAAGAGTTCTGAAATCAAGTGTTTTTATAAATCCTACAGGAATATTCCTTATAGTTTACAGCAAAATACAAATTATAGAGTTTGTAAATCTTTGTATACATATGATATATATATGCACATGTATTAAAAACAGGTAGTAACTTATAAGCTGTAACAACTCTATTCTCTCAGACCTCTGATTGTGCCTTTTGAACAAAAAGGTAACAGGAAGAAGGTGTGAATTCATACAGGGCTTTACAAAATCTTTAAATAATTTAAAAATTATTAAGGACCTCACTAGTTCAGTGATGAGTGGCAGATGGCATTGTCAATGGAACGCTTCTAAAAAAATAGTAAATCTGTCTATTGACCTCCAACATTTTGTGGGGGAGAGGGATTTAATAATGAGTATAATTTGTGCTAGATGACAAATTCCTTTTCTTTATCCATGCTTATGAAAGTGTACTTTAGGGAGGGGAGAAAAAAGGTTATATAGAAAGGAAATAAAAACATATATGAGTTGGGTACCTTAAGCATTGAAAGGAAACAATGGGTATGAAATTATAGATGTCAAAGTGTCTTGTCTATTTGCATGGAAGAATTACATCACAAATGCAGATATGGTAGTAGCACATCCTACTTTTAATATGTACTAGAAAGAGTCAGATTATTTATATATTTACGTTTTCCTCCCTCTCTCAATTCCATTTTCAGCACTTTTTCTGGTTCTGATAAGTTACACCCAAGTGGTCTGGAGTTCTCTTTCTGATTTTGAAAAATTTTGAAAATATGACATCGGTGTTTGAAGGTGTGTCTTTTAAAAGAGTAGGACAGAACCATTCATTCATGGATTCATTCATACTAACAAGAATTTTAACAGTTAACAGTCAAAACAAAATGAAATTCAGCATGTAGGTGAAAGTCCTGCTTTGATACAACTAAGCCAAGGTTTGCCTTTTCCTCTTGCAGGAATAAGAAGGCTTAATGAGTGCATTCAGCCAGTCTTATCACAAAGATCACTGTCTAATTGGTGATCTAATCTGGAAGTAGAGGAGGCAACCATGGGGAATAAGCATTAATTAATTTATCCACTGAGGGGATACTGAATAAGAAGATCCTTTTAGTAAAAGGAGAGTTACAGGAAAGGTAAAGTTAAGTTTGCATCTGCCTGTGTCAACACAGTTACCTCACCTGGAGTACTGTGTCCAGGTCTGAAGTGCTCAGCACAAGAAAGATGTGGACCTCTTAGAGTAGGTCCAGAGGAGGGCCATGGAAATTATCAGAGGGATGGAACTCCTTTCCTATGAGAAAGATCTGGGGTTATTCAGCATGGAGTAGAGGAGGCTCACTGTGGCCTTCCAGTACCTTAAGGGGGCTTATAAAAAGGAGGGAGATGGACTCTTTATATAGACAGATAGTGACAGGACAAGGGGCAATAGTTTTAAACTGAAAGAGGGGAGGTTTAGATTAGACGTTAAGAAGAAATTCTTTACTCAGAGGGTGGTGAAGCACTGGAACAGGTAACATGGTTGTAGATGTCCCATCACTGGAAGTGTTCAAGGAGACCTGCTGGTCATGCTGTTTTTGGTGCAACCCAGGATACAGTTGGCTTTCTTGGCTGCAAGGACATATTGCCAGCTAATATGGAGCTTCTTGCCAACCAACATCGCCAAGTCCTTCTCCTTGGGTCTGCTCTCAATCCGTTCTCCACCCAGCCTGTATTTGTGCTTGAGATTGACATCACCCAGATGCAGGACTTTGCACTTGGCCTTGTTGAACTTTATTAAGTTCTCATAGGCCAAACTCTTAAGCCTGTCCAGGTCCCTCTGGGTGGTATCCCTTCCTTGCAGTGTGTCAACTGCACCACATCAGTGCACAGAAAAGCAAACAAAATTGCCCAAGGAATTTTCAAAGCAGCGAGCAGTATTTGGAGTAGATTTGCAGGAAAAAAAGTTAAAAGATTTGTGTTTGAAGCACAAAGTCAGATTAGTTTTAATTGCTCGCTCACCCACTTTAAAGCTGTGTTTTACAGCTCTAGCCTGAGCTGAATCTTTGAATAGTATAAAGACTCCTCACAGTAAAAAAGAACCCAGTACTTTGCAATGCAGAGGAATCACCAGCAATGCTTTTAGATGTTTTCAAGATCCATTAAAAACACACTAAAGAATGTCTTATGTCAGATGTATGTAATCTCTCTGACTACCCTGTAAATTGAAAACACTGTGTGATTTATGTTGAGATAAAAAATCTCAGATCTTTTGAAACTGAGATTCCCTGTGTTTGCACTGTGTAAAAGATAGTGGGAATAATTTTTGAAGGAGCTGTTTATTGAAGTTCAGGAGTTAAGCTGTTGTCAAATTTCTCTCCTGCCTACTAGCTGGTATTGTCATTCCATTTTCAAGGTCATGGTAGAGGTAGTCAGTTATAATACTCCTCAAAGAGTTTTGGCAGGAGATAAATAGCTGCCTCTGTTCTTTTATAGGATATTAATAGGTGAGACACTTCTCCACCTGCCAGCAAGCTGTCAATCAGAACCTGTCAATTTTAGTTGGAAAGAAGAGAATGATGTAGTGGCCTTCTATATCAATCATTGATTTGATAACTCTTCATGAAAGTTAGATCTTTGTGTCAGTTCTATTAACAAAACAAACAAATAAAAAAACGAACTTCAAAAAACTCAAGTTATTATGTCTTGAAAATAACATTTATAGTGGAGGCTTTTGATACTTTTAGCAAAGCAGGTGTACATTTAGAAGAATGCAGTATCTCTGTGGCATTAGAACAAGGCAGTTTGCATGAAAAGTAAATTTTGCATGCACTGTCATAAGTATAAATTAAATTTTTGTGGTGTTTTATCCTAGTATTTGTATATTAATCTCAATTCAGTGAACTATGTTTAAGGAAAACATAAATGAAAATCCAAGGAAGTAAAAAATACAAAGTTATAAAACAAAAATTATCTGCCTTGCAGAAATATTCTCTAATGAAAGGTCGGTGTTATATTTATATATATATTAAATATTTAACTTATAAGTTAAATATTTTTTTTGCTTGAAGTGGTGATATTTTCAAGCGTTTTAATTGACTTGGAAGTCCCGTGTTATTTGTTGCTACAAAAATGAAAAGTTCTCACATGTATGACCTTTCAAATAGCAATAAACAACTTTGTGAAAATTGTATCTTTTATAAACTTCACAATACTAAGCTAATACAGGATACATGCACAAATATTTGTAAGAGAAATAAAATAATTTCTGTATCCATTTTCCACAAGAAAATGTTGTCGGTTTTTTTTGAAGAAAGAGAATTTTTTTATAAAGAAAAAATCCCTGTCAAAAACACAGTTATCAAGGGAGTAATGCGGATAAAATGTTCCCATTTTGAGTTTATGTGCTGCTGTATATGCCAGTAAAAAAACATGCAACTTTTGCAAAAACATATCCAACCAAGGAGAGAGGAAAAATGGATCATAAATATACTACATTAAAATTAATTATTTTTCTTTAAGAGGAAAGTATTGATGTCAGATTAATGTCTTTTACTAAAATACTTTGTTTTCAGGTACTAAAGGTTAGGATTTTTTGTTAATTTTAAAGGAACAGTTTGTATGAGCATGTCTGTGTTGTTCCTCCCCTCTTTAAAGGTTGAATGAATCAACTGCTTGAGGAAATATATAGTCTCCCTTTGATGCTGACATAAATCACAGGTATTATCCACCACAGACTGGCAAGGGAAAATATGGTAAATAAAACTAAAAATAGACTGCAATTAGCTGTGTGCTTTAAGGTGAGATCCAGACAAGTTCTGTGGGTAGTGCTTTTGTGATTCAGCTGATATTTACAATATGCATAATGTACTGCAAATGCTGTTAGAGCATATAGCAGTAAATTTGGTTAGTACGGCACAATTTTAAGTAAAGTTTTATAAATAATGCATAAGGAGAAGTACTTGCTTAAGCTGTGCTTTCACAGCCTGCTAGAACTAATCATAAATATCATGTTGACAGATCACATGAACAGCAAAATTTACAGAGTCTATTTATTGCGGTCTTTCTATTGCATCCGTTCAGGAAATACACTGAAGACAGAGGAGACTGTTCATTACTTTGAGGAGAAAAATCTTTAATATCAGTATGTACTTCGAGGTTATGATCACGTGCATACACACACAGAGCTTCAAATGAAAAAAGGATTGGTCATATACCTTAGTCCAGGATAAAGACCCAGGTCCTCATAATAGTTTAGTAGATCAGCTTCCACGTGACTTTGTGAGGAAGGTAATTGTGTTTCATGTAGATTAGTAGTTCTGAGGGTATGTTTTTGAGCAGCAATTGTATCCAGGCTTTTAAATATATACTTGTAAAATGAAGAGAGGTATTTTTTCTCTAGAAACTGCTAGATTCCTGGCTTTAAGCAAGTTCTCTTTCAATATATATAGTAACTAGTAATTAGGTAAATTAAATAATTTATTTTTGCTTTCAATTCAGTATAAGAATGGCATTTTCACTGGGTGTGTGTTTGTTCTGGATTACTCTGTAATCAATTACTGTATTCCTTTTCTTCTTTTTTGTTTTTGGTGGGGGTTTTTTTTGGTTGGTTGGTTGGTTGGTTAGTTGGTTTGTTTTGAGGGGAGGCCAGGGAAGAGGGAGAGTCTTTTTTTTTTTAACTCTACTGTCAAAAGATTTCTTTGTAGCCATTTTATTCTACAATACACTAAGGAGTTGTGGGTTTGGTTTGGTATGTTTTCCAGGCACACTGATGCACCATTTCTTCTCGTCTTGTCTTATCTTCATGTCCACACTGCTCTGTATGCTTCAGAAAATTTCAGAGGAAAGAGCAAGCATGGCTTATATGGTGATGCAGTGGAGGAAATGGACTGGAGTGTGGGTATGTTACATGTGCTTCTAACAGCAATCAATGGAATTCATGGAAGGCTTGTGTTCATGTTCACTAAATTTGGACCAGCAATTTGGATGTCTACAGTATATCTGTCATGCTTGTCTTTTATACTGAGGGGAAAAAACAGTCACTTAAAAAGCACAATAATCTGAGCTCTTGTAGTATCTACTTTATGGCCAAAATTATTATGTCCTACAAAAGCCTATTCTCATCTTTAACTATAAATGTAGTCTATACAGCATGGACTTTAGCAGAGATGTGGTCACCTAACTGTGGACTTCTAAAGCTGAGTAGTTAAATCCAATGCCCTGAGCTCCTGAGTGCCATCTGACCTATTCAGGTTATCCTTATAAAACAATATATATTAATTCAAAAAGTGACCACATGATATCTATATAAAATTATTTTCAAATGAAGTGACTATATTATTCAGTGTAGGCAAAACTAATTTGCTAATTTTTTTAGTGAGTTCTCTGAATTATTGAAATCACTAATGTGAGGTCCATTTCTGTTTATGTAGAACAGTCAAACCAAACAATTTGCCCTTCAGAGCTTCTCTGAGGCTGGAGAGCAATTGGTCCTTATATTTTTTCAAGAGGTTTCCTGTATCTCTAGATGTATTGAAGTGTTTCTTTGATTCGAGAGATAATCGCCTGTGTAAACAAGTAACAGTTCATATTTGTAAAAAATCATATTGTAGAATAGCAGTATTATAAGAGCTAAAGATGAGTTTACAGTCCTCCTTCCTGTGTACCCCAAGTTGATTCTGTTCTCAGTGCAAGCCAGAGCAAATTGCCTTTCTTCAAGAAAATGTCGTTTCCTTATTAAGTTTCTATGAACAGATATTTAGTTTTGGTGCATACATAAATTATGCCAATATGTGCAGTTAAACTTTTGTATTTCTTTGCATATTTTCCATCAAGAAGTCTAGTTTCAGAAGCAATGGGCAAAAGGCAGCACAGCACATTTAGTGATTTGTAAGGTATTGACTGCATTATTTACAAAAATGGGGAAAACCTTTGTGGGAAACTGTGATGTGCTGAGGAAGGGTTTTCAGTGTAGGAGACAGCAGAATAATACTCTTTTGTAAATCAGGTTTTGTAAAGAGAGAGCAGCTTTCATTCCAGTTGTATCAACCCTGAAACTTTATCACTTTTTTCAGTGGCCACCAACATTCGGTCAGTTGAGTACTTGTATTAGATAAAAGTATGCATGTGTTATCATTTTTATTGGCATCCACATTGTAGTAAGCTACTGAGCATTAGCTGGTTTTACTGTCTGCATTTGATTTTACTATTTCTTTTTCTGTTGTGCGTATTTTAGCTTATCCCACCCTATTTGGTCATTTGCTGCTGCCATTACATTTTTCTGCCTCCTTGCTGCCCCAGAGAGTGTCTCCACTGTTTAAACAGTAAGCTGGAAAGCAGGGCTGCTGACATGATGCTGTTTCAGGCTATTTAGTGATGTAGAGGTGGTAACAGATTAAAAACCACTGCTCTTTTCCAGAATGACCACAGGCTTTTAGAAGATGTGTCAAACTTCTGTAGGAGAGAAGCATACTATTTAAAAAGCTTGGGATAAATCAGAGATACAAATTTAGTGGTGGTAATACAGGAATTTTGAACAAATTGGAGGAGATACATGAGTTTCCTCATGTATTGTCCTTTAGAGTTCATTACAAAAGCATCAGGGACAGTGGAGTTAGCTTAATCAGGAAACAGATCCTTGACTGTCATTTACTAGAATACAAGCATCAAATTTTATTTCTGCTGGGGGTCTGGCTACTTGGTTTTGCTTCTGTCTTGTAAGATTCCTGTGATGAAATATGGTATAGTTTCTCCAGGAAGTAGAAAATGTGTTTAGTTCCTCTGCTACTTTCTCCTTCATTATTAGCATGATGAAAAAAAAATTACGGCTGTCATTTCCGAAGGAGTCTGAAGGAATAATATAGCTTTTTTTTTCAATTGATGTACTTATTTTCATTAATCTCCACTGAAAATTCCAGTCCTAATGCATCAACCAAGTCAGACAAAGTAGATTCATTCACTGTGCTGCTGATATCAATAATCAGTATTTTCTTGGAATGCCTCTGAAGATGGTGCAGTAGAAAAGTCAAACAAAATTTTCTAGAAAAGTTGAAAAAGTGAAAACTGTAAGCTTTCCAGAAAAGGAGGTTTTATCATTCAGTAGGCAGAAATTAGTATTTATGCACAGAAGAATGAACCTTGCAAAAGCAATAAGAACAAAATAACCCAGGTATAACAATATGCTGCAAAACTTTCTAAGTGAAAACAACCCAGCGTATGAAGAAAAAATGAGTGTATGGAAAACTACATTATAGTACAACATCAGAAACCTTTGACCTCAGGTAGGAAAACCCCCACAACTTTAACTCAGTTCTAAAAGAAACTTACAATATGTTTTCTGCTGACTGGGAAATGTTGTGGAAAACCCTTGTGGATGACTAAAACAAACAAACAAACAAACAAAAAACAAACAAAAAATCCCCCAAAAGTTGCAAGTAGAACTACGAGTTAGGACTGTTAGGTACCAGTGATGAAAAATTGTATCAAGATTGAACCATGAGAAAAAGCAACATCCTTTCCAGCAAGATGGAGAAGTCCACTCTAGACTGAGAATTCTAAATACAAAACAATTCCATTTTCATTTGTTTTGTTTTTTATTGAGAATCAATACCAAATTGGACAATAATTCAATTGCAATACGATCTCCATTCTAGGAGGAGAAAAACCCAAAAGACACATGAATAAAATACATATGTGAATATTTCATGTTTGTGACTTGCTAAACCACTGCTGAAGAGTATGATTACAATCCATGTCAAAAATCCAAAATACAAAGCCTCTGGGTAAGCTTTGGGACCACGTATGTCTACTGCTTTTGCATACTGATATGTGTATAACAGAATTCGATGTTGAAAGCATTCACAGTTATAATGTCACTGCATGTGACATGCCTTAGAGAATTATTCTTTGGCTAATAATATTAATTTTCTTTCAATGTAGGCTAAGCACCTTATTAATGCTATTAATTATAATTCATATGAGAGCAGATGAAATAATCTTACTGTCTAAAAATGGAAAAAGAAATGATGAATGAATCAATGAATGCAATATTATCCTCTTCTTCCTTCCTCTCTTCTTCCCTTCTTCCATTCCTTCATTCCTGATTGAGTATAGGAAGAGAGATGGATACATTCAGAAATTGGCTTTGATGTAAATTTCATTACAGTAATTTAATCCAAAACAGATCACTGCAAAGAGTTTTGGAGCCCCCTGTAGACTTACATGAAAGCTGTATGAAGGCACAGTAATCCAACACCACTTTTTCCAATGGCTGTTTATTATTCTGTAGCAGAACTACATATGAGGTCTTCCTCCTTTGTACAACAATCACAACTGAAAGGCTTATATGTATAAAGGTCTCAGAAACTGTAGTCTGGAACAGACTGTAAAGTGAGAGCTTTGTCTGAAGATCTTTATTATGTGAATGCCCTGAAAGCTGAAAAAAACTTAACTGCCTCTCTGCCACGATCTTTTGACCTGTCTTAGGATCAAGTTGTGCCAAGAAGATACAACAATCATCTTATGTTAGTTAATTAGAAGAAAAGGCGAGGAAATAAATCCCAAAGCATCTTACATGCAACTTGTATTTGAAATACCTTAAAAGATTTTGTAAGAGTTATATATGAAGAGTGTAGCTTGGTATGTCCGCCGTACAAGAGGGATATGGAACTACTGGACAGTGTCCAGCAAAGGGTTACAAGAGAGACTAGAGCATTTTTTCCTAAGAGAAAAGGCTGAGAGGTCTGGGACTGGGGCTCCATTCAGTCTGGAGAAGACTGAGTATCTTATAAGGTATATTAATTAAGAGGGACTTACTGCCCAAGGCCTGTATTGACAGGTGTAGTAGGTATCTGGGAGCTGGGGGGGCTACAGGGGTGGCTTCTGTTAGAAGCTGCTAGAAGCTTCCTCTCTCCCATGGAGACCATGCCAGCCGGCTCCAGGATGGACTTCTTACCGCTGAAGCCAATTGGCTGAGCCAATTAGGAGTAATCGCCTCTGTGATAACAGAGAAGATTGTGGCACAGAAGGAATTCCAGCCAGGGAAGAGTGGAGTGAGAACATGGAAATAACAATGTAGACACCAAGGTCAGTGCAGAATGAGGGGCAGGAGGTGCTCCAGGCACTGGAGCTGAGACCCTGCAGCCCGTGGTGCAGACCATGGTGGAGGAGCTGTGCCCCTGCAGCCCATGGAGGACCATCGGGGTGCAGAGACCCACCTGCAGTCCATGGAGGAGCCCATGCTGGAGAAGGTGGATGCATGAAGGAGGCTGTGACCCCATGGGAGGCCCAGGGTGGAGTGGGGTCCTGCCGGAGACCTGCAGCCCATGGAGAGGGAAGCCCAAGCTGGAGCAGGTTTACCTGGGTAGGACTTGTGGCCCCTGTGGGTGACCCATGCCAGTACAGCTCATTCGTGAAGGACTGCACCCCATGGAGGATTGACCCACGGGACAGCAGTTTGGGAAGAGCTGCTGCTCAAGGGATGGACTCACATTGGAGAGGTCCATCAAGGACTGTCTCCTGTGGGAGGGACCCCACAGGAGCAAGGGAAGGACTCCTCTCTCTGAGCAGCAGCAGAAACAACAACTGACTGTAACCTCCATTCCCCATCCCCCTGCACGACTGGGGGGGAGGAAGGAGAACATGGAAGGCAGGAGGGGTGGGGGGAAGGTGTTTTGAAGACTATTTCTCACTCTTTGTCTCTTATCCTGTTAGTAATAAATTTAAGTACTATCCCCACTTTGAATCTGTTTTGCCTGTGAAGGTAATCAGTCACTGATTACCTGTTATCTCAACTCAGGAATCCTTAGCTGTTTTTTTTCTCTCTCCTCTGTCCAATTGCAGAGGGAGAGTGAGAGAGTGGCTGTAGTGGGTACCTGGCATCTGACCAGGGTCAACCCACTA